GTGCACTATTTTATGCTAAATATTGTCTAATGTACCACTTAAATTCTCTTGTCTTTTCATTTACTTCATTTATTTACTTATTTTGCAGTGTTAGGGATCAAACTAGGGCCTCACACGTGCTAGACAAGCACTTTATCACTGAGTGATACTCCCAGCCCTACAACATTTTAAAAAGTTATTTTCTTTATGGTTGCTTAGGACAATTAGTTTAATTTCAATAATATTTTAAAAACTTTCTCCAGTATGAATTGTTCACAGTTGTCTTTAGTTATTGCAGTGAATGCATGTTTCTCTCCTTTAATTAGTATTATTTTATGATACTATAAGACTTTTAAACTATTTTTGTTCTCCTGGAATAAATCCTGTGGCATATTTTAAAATGTTAATAAATCCAACTTGGTAATATTTTTATCTCAGATTTCTATTTATAAGAGAAATTAGACTGTAATATATAGCAGAAATCAAAGAAAAATAACCACCATCTGGAGACCTGAACTCAGAGATTAAGTCCATGGCATCTGTAGGAAGTGGCTATAAATTTGACTTAGTTTCTATTGGGAAATAGGCACATTATCCACTAGAGGCTGTGAATGGTGAATAAATTAGGATTAAGATTAGGAGACTTGCAGAGCCCTGAAAATGGATAATTTAAATAAGAATAATAGATAGTTTGTTATGCTCTCAACGAAAAGAAGACAAGAGGCAAGCTCTTTCAGGTTGGTATGATGGTTCACTGGGAACCTCTAGAGTGTCTAGAATAGCTCTAGGGTATTCAACTCTACGTAGGTTATAATATCTTCCCTCCTGGCTAAAATGGCTCTTGTAACTTTGTCCTTCCATTTTTGTCCCAGACAGCAGAATGAGACACAAAGACCTTCCCATAACTTTCTAGAAGGCCACACTTACATAGCATAAATCCAAATCTTTCCAGCAACTGGGTTGGTTTTCCCCTTCTAGGACATTCTTGTATCCTCCTCCTTCCTATACTTTGAAGATTCTCCCACATACATTTCCCTGACCTTTTTCTAATCCCTCTCACTTTCCTGTCTCCGATTTAGGAGGGAAGCTCTCTCTGACCCCCAAAACTAGATCTAAGCCTTCTAATTTATCTTCTCAGCCCTTACCTAACAGTTGTCATATTTGACATATGAAGCTATAATTGAAGGTAAATTAGTAAATTTCCTTGTGGCTGTCTTCTAGACTGTAATGTAACCTGCATGAGGTCTGTTGGGCTCAGGATTACATCTGCACTCATGGCATCTGCTTGGTAAGTACATCTAACTAGTTCTGTGAACCGTTGGAACTTGGTTGATTGGCAGCTAGCCTCAAAGAGGTCCTTGTCCCCCATTCACATAAAGATGGTGTCAGATCTGCTTCCCATAACTTGAGGATAATTTGGGCAAATCCCTCAGTTTCTTTTCTACCACTTCCAGTAATTTCACAGCATTATTCAATGTAAAACTCCCCTTGAAGCTCTTCCTGTCACTTCAGCTCAAGCTTGCCTTGTGATCTAAAAATCTATAATAAGGAAGAGGGTGTGGAGTGAGCTTTCCCATCCTATTTTACTCATTTAGCTGTAGCTTCTGAAATAATATAAAACAAGGAAGTGAGGGTCACACTATTTCTCGGCTACCAGGCTGGGAGTGGTTGTCTGTTTCTCTGGCTGATACTGGTGCATTGTGGGTGACTTCTGTGGCAGAATCTAAGGGTTGGCTTACTTGTAGAGCATGGGTCTGAGTACTTCAGGGACTTCTGTAAGAGTGGGTGGTTGGGAAGAGCACCCTCCACTGAAAAGTGTACTGATGTGAGAGACCTTCTGTGGCTTGACTTCTTCCAACCCTGCTCTCACTCAGCTCACATGGATCGTGCACCCTCTCCTGCTACGTGAAGGCCTACACGAAGGCCAGGGTGGCCAGACAACTGAAGACTGGCTGCCATCTGCCGTGTTTATGATGGTAAATCCCAAATCCTTGCCCTGCACACTGAGTATGTAGACTGCTTACCATCCTACTCCAATGTCATGTTCCTACTTTAGGGCAGATCAACAGATCCACTCTCCAACCAGGAAATGTGATGTCAGTCATGCTTCCTTGCCATACCTCAAACCTCTCAAGAGGTGCTCCCGGTGACCCCTCTCGTGTGGCATTACGGGAGGAGGACCTCACTCTCAGGGAGGGGAGAAGTCACAGAACTCTCAGTTCCAGTGACTGATTTTTGATCTTCATGATTTCTTCTCCTCTTTCCCTAGTCCTCTGTGTGGAGTGAAGGCGAAGAGAGCCAGAGTAGCAGTAACAGTTTAGGCACCTGTCACTGAGCTCTAGGGGTGATGTTGTCCTAAACTAATTTGCACCTTTCTTTTTCTCCTACCTTGGAAATGTGAAGTCGTTTTGTCCCAGCTTTGAAAAAGAGTCATTAGGAAAAGTTCCTTCAGGAATCCTATTATAACCGTTGAGAGAATCAGCGACATGTTTCTTGTGTTGTCTGCTCCTTGGGGAGTCTCGGCCTAAACCAAACTCCTGGACACAAAGGTCAGCAAGCTAGGAGGCACGTGGCGAGTGGACCATATTCACTATTTCACGAAGAGGAAAGAAACAAACTAAGGCTTATCAGGGGCTGAGCAGACAGACTCCCATGTGCAGATGGACTGTCTGCGGCAGAACTGAGGCCGAGGCAAAAAGCAGAAGTGGTTAAAGAAACAAGTCATAGGATGGGGTGGATCAGAGTAATGCAGAAAAAAGAGACGAGAGGACAATGGGAGTGGAAAGTGAAAGTGATAGAAACTTGAAGGAAGAAAAGATGGTAGAGGAGAGCAAAGACTGAGAGGCTGGGGTCAGGGAGAAGGACTGGGCTGCAGCTTGCTGTGGGGGGATGGGCAGAACAGCTTGCAAAGGAGAATAAGGGCTGGGGTCACCATTCGCCAGCGTGTGCAGGTGGCTGTGGGCTAGACCCACCCCTCCCCCACGGTGCAGTATTCTGAGGTTACAGGTGGGGGAGGAGGAATGCATACAGGGGAGGCGGGGAGAGCACACCCCTCCAGGTGCAGGGGCACTGGAACAGCTTGTTCCTTTTATTCTTAGACAAGAAGTAAAGATGCCAGATGGAACCTTCGCATGAAAGCTCTGATCTCAGCCACAGTTGTGTAGAATTAATGTGGCCAAGGCCATTTAAAGTCCAAAGCCTGAGTGAAGAATTTTGGAAATACTTCTATCCCTAGTACCTGTCCCCATTTGTTCAAAGACACATCCAGGTAAAGTGCTCAGCATAGAGCAGAACCTGGCATGTCTGTGGGCTCAGTCGATGTTAGTTTCTCATCGAGCAGCTCGCAGCACAGGGTCTCTGCACCTAGCACGGGTAGGCACTCAGTGCGGGTGATTAATGAATGATCTTATTGACCCAAGGGTTCGTGTAACTCTATCCAGTTCCACCACCAAGGCACAATCTATGGTATGAAGCCTACGTCATTCATGGAGGTTCCTGACCTTGCAAACCTCCTGTGTATAACCTTGTGCTGGCTGTTGGAACAAGCTGATCACTAGGGGCATAACTTCTGCAACCTGGGGATCTTGGGACCTTGAAAAGACCGGTGAAAACCTTAACTCGAGAAGAGAAGGACTGTGGTAGCCAGGCACAGAGTAGAGCAGAAAGTAGAGGAGAGAGATTCAAATCTTGTGAAGAGGTTTAAACCATAGAGCTAAAGGTCAGCAAGGAAGCTTGGAGTCATCTTGCGCTTTGTGGCTCAAAAAGTGGGTCACAGACAGCAAGGGCAGCATCTTCTGGGATTTTGTTAGAAATGCAGAATTTCAGACCCCACCCCAGACCTACTGATGCAGCCTGCATTTTGACTGTCCTTAGTTTGAGAGGCCCTTATCTAATCCAAGGGTTTAAATTTACACGCCCTTGCAAAGGAGAACCAGCAGAGGGCAGTGCTGCAGAGTTTGCCAGAGCCAGCAGAGAGACTGTTGAAGCAATTTGTCCTGAGGCTTCCATTGAGTGGGGCTGCTGGACCAGAGCTGGGATTATCTTCTCTCTGAATAAAGACAGATGGCTTGAGTTCATTGAAAAGTGAACCACTAACCCACTTTTTTCCCCAGAACAGAGGATGCAGTACTAGGACTGCACACTTGAACTTTCCCCTAAAACCAACCTACTAAGTTTTGAGCCCCACAAAGGGCTGTAATACAACACAGGAGAATCAGGCACAGCCCTTGCCCTGTAGCTTCTAAAGACAGGTGTTGTCTTGGCACAGGTATTAGATGTCCCGGAGGTAAATCCAGCCCTATTGAGAGGGGTACTGCAATCGAGTTAGAGCTCTTCTGTTCCAATCTGGAAATGCTAAATAATTTTATGTTTCAATGCAAGCTTCTAAATTGAAATGCATGAGAACAATGGGGCATGCGTGTAAGAGATACATAAAAATATGTGTCCACTTCTGTTCTTTTGTCACATCATTCACATAGCCCACTATTTCCCGAACCCCTTACATGCTGCGTCCCAGTGCACACTCAGTGTGTGAGAGCTCAATGAGTCTCTATGCGAGTGCAAAGCAAGTCTGTACAGCAGACACTGGCTTTCATAGATGGTGTGTGTGCAGCCAGGAGCTACATAAATGCTAAGTTAGGTTTTGCAGGGTTTATTTTATACTGTGCTGGTGAGAACAAAATATAAATGAATGCATGAGCTACAAAATGTAAATTGAGTGATTTCAGTGATTCCACATGCAAATTAAATGTTCATGTATTTCATAACAAATGCTCACTGCACAATATGGACAGTACAATTCATGGGTATAATTTCACATTTATTCATTTATTTTGACTTAGAGCAATATCCAAGGGCAAAAAAATATACCATCTGAAGTTGAAAGAGGAACTGTGGAAGAAAGGGAAAAGCTTTAATTTTTACTAAGCATGTGTGTGTGTGTGTGTGTGTGTGTGTGTGTGTGTGTGTGTGTGTAGGAGGATACTAGGGTTTGAACCCAGGGCCTTCACAGGGCTTTGCCCAGCCCTTTTAAATTTTTTATTTTGAGACAGGGTCTTGATAAGTGATTAAGTTGCCCAGATGGGGCTTGAGTTTGAGATTCTTCAGCCTCAGCCCCCCAGGGTAATGAGATTACAATCATGCACCACCGCATCCAGCAATACCTTTAATAGTAGTTTTTGCCTGTGTTTTGAACAAAGAGTCCACATTTTCATTTTGTATCAAGTCTCAAAAATTATATATCCGGTGCTCCCTTGAGAGATAGGAGAGGCAGGGAAGAGTTGATGCTTGTGACTTGGGCCACCTAAAGTGAGATTTACCCGAGGCTTCCAAGGTACGAGGACTAATATGTGATGCCGGGAAAGGTGTGCCTGCAAATGTGTGTGTGTGTGTGTGTGTGTGTGAGTGTGTGTGAGTGTGTGTGAGACCCTGTGTATGTTTCCAAGAGAACCTCCTCTTCTACAAAGAAGAGTGAGGGGAAAGGAACAGGAACAATTTCTAAAAAGGAGGCTGAGACAGTCCGATTGAAGGGTGCAGGCTGATGAGAACTGACATTGGGACGGCACCACAGGCTGTGCTAAGGCATTGTGTGTGTTGTGGGGAGCCTTGACCACCTTCTGGTATCAGGAAGAATCCAAACTTTCTTACTACACATATGCAATGCAGCCAAGTAGCTGCTCTCCAAACAATGGCTCAAACCCAGGCTCCTTGCTATGTGGCTCCACTTCCCAGATTCCCTTATTTCCTGCCAGCTCAACTCTGCTCACCTCCTATTGGCTAGAACCAATTACTTGACTCCACACAGATGCAAAGGTTTCTGGGAAAAGGATTTTTTTCTGCTGATCAAGGGGAAATTGAAAGGACTTGGTGAACACATAGCATCACCTGTTGCTCAGAGGAGATGGAGGCTATGTTTCTTTGTGACAGTAAAAGAAGAGGTGGGAGAAGCTGGCCTGCTGTCAGAAGAAAGCACGATGGTGTACCGTGGCCATTTCCTTCAAGGGAGAGCATTTGTTAGTGACCTCCCAGCTCTGTACTCATGAAGAGACTTGGAAAAGAAAACAGACAGCAAAAGTTCTGGATGTTATGCAGGGATGGGCTCGGGGACTCCTCCCTGTTTACAGTGGGAGACTGTGGAGAAAAAATTTGTGTCCATTTGATGGTTTCATTAGATCCATGATTCAATTAAAACTGGAAGAGTGGCTCTCATAGCAATGTGGTGAAAAGAGAACGGAGAACTCAGGTCCTGTGAAAATTGTGGGAGCAGGGACCCTTCTTACATAGTAAAGCTGCACACTCACTTCTCAGGGAGTGAGTCTGACCTCATATTCATGGGAAAACAAAGCAAGGTATGTTTCTCTTCAAACCACTGACAAGGAGGCCAGAATTTGGGAAAGAAGAGGGTTTTGGGAGAGCTGGAATCTCAGGTTTGACATCGATGTTGGAACAGAGGTCAGAGGGAGTCCAATTTAATCCCTCAAATGTGCTGACACACAGATCCTGTAATCTCAGGATCTTGCCCATGTTCTAGTCTGTCTAGGCTGATGGTACTGTCTGACAGGTTTGGAATGACTCAGGAATCCACTTTGATGATCATATTGATGTTTACCTGGTAAGACAATTGTAATTCAACAGTAGAACTTTTGCCTAGCATACATGAAACCCTGGGTTTGATCACCATGGTCATGAAAAGTAAATACATAAGAAATCTTAAAAAGTGAATGTATTAGCACAACGTAGTCACATTTTTTTTTTTTTGTGAAGAGAATGCATGTGTGACTATCTGTGTGTGTTGAAAAACAACCATGGAATTATATTGGTCAGCTTTCTTTTCATTGGAACCTGACATACAATTTATAGGGCTTTATTTGGGATCATACTTTTTGAGTTTCCACTGCCTGACCAGCTGGCTCCCAGGCAGAAATTTCATGGCAAAGGAGCAGAGTGGAGGTAAACTTGTCACTTCGTAGCAGATGGAATCAGTGCACAGGGGGAAAAGCACCAGGCACGGTCCCAGGGGCCTAACTCCAACTGGGCCCCTCTTCCTAACAGTACATTCAGCCGTAAATATCATGGATTGGCCCACCGATGAAAATAAGGCCCTCATGATCCAACCACCTCTCCAGGAGTCTTTTAATGCATTCAAACTATCAATAAGTTTTGGTGGCACAGAGTTATATGACGAACTGTCAAAAGTTAATTGAAAAGCTTCGATAATATACTTTGTCTCATCCCACACAGCTGGAGCTTTGGTCCTGGCAAAGGTCACGGTTGCTGATGAAGGCAAGATTGTCTGGCCTGGAAGTTTCCTTCTTGAGCTGGAGGAGTCATTTTAGGTGAGTAGGAGGCCAGGAATGATGGGTACCAAGATCACTAGCCAAGTTACAACACAGGTCACTCCAGAGGATCGGGCTGAAAGATAAAAGCCCCAGCACTTAAGTGTCGAATAAAGACTGGTGTGTCGAGAAGGGGTAGGAGTCCTGGACATTGGCTTGGGAACTTATAAACCAAGGAAAGGAATTTCCTTCCTGAATCCAATCGCAGTGTTTTCTTTCTTGAAAGGGCTCAACTTATCCAGATATAAAGAGTACAGAAATCTTAAAAATCACTGGCTTCTCTGAGTTCTGTGTTTGAAAATTACCTTGAAATTTCTACAGGCCTGGAAAGAATCAGTCCCATACATGGGAGAGCAGAAAGGGAGGACAGAGCATCAGGTATAGAGAGATGACCCCATAATGCTATGCACAGCTGACTTTAATGATGGAAGGGCCATGTCCTTTTCTCTTTTCTCCACCCCACTTACTATCTGTACCAACTGTGAGGTAAATAGGAAAGAAACAGATATAGGAGAGGAGAGAAGAGAAAGAAAAAAATAGAAAAGAAGAGAAGAAAGAAAAAGAGGAGAAATAATAAAAAGAGACTAGTGATATAACCAAGAAAGGGAGATGAGGGATGTTTTCTAGGATAATTTTGGTGGCTAAAAGTGACAAGATCGATTTACCCCTTCCCCCAAGTGGTGTGTTACTGCTTTTGTCCACTCTGCAGGTAAGCAGTCACCCCCATTTTATAAGGGACAGGATTGTGCCTCTTCCTTTTTCTGGATCTCAGAATGTGGCACAAATAGCAGTGCCAGAATTGCCCAGCCAAATCAACACATCAACCTGTCACACTGGGTTCCTGGTGGCAGAGGAGCAGGGCATGCTAGGAGAGGCTAGAAAGACATGACCAGCTAGTTGGTATCTTAGCGACTTTCTTGTCACCAAGACCCAGTATCAGATACCCACAATTTAAGAAGGAGAAGTTTATTTTGGCTCATGGTTTTAGTGTATAGTTGGCTGGCTCTAAGGCAGGAAGGCATGGCAGAGGGGCCCGTGGAGGAAAGATGTTCACATCATAGCAGCCAGGAAGCAGAGAGCTAAGGGAAGAACCCAGAAAGAGATATAGACTCTTCTGGGTCACATCCTCAGTGACCCACTTCTTCTGACCAGATCTCACCTCCTAAGAGCAACTCAGTTGTATCAACCTCATGATTCAATCACCTTCCAAAAGCTCCACCCATGCGCCCTTGAGGGCTTCAGGGACATCTAATATAAACTATAACAGAAAAAAGAAGAGCATACGATTCCACAGCTCACCTGTGGAAACAGGTGAAGTAATCAGCCCAGATGAGTCTGAGTGGTGGCGTAGCCTATAATCCCACTACTCCCGGAGTTTTCTGGGAGGCTGAGGGAGGAGTTTCCAAGATTGAGCCTGAGCAGTATAGCAGCTTAGTGAAACCTTGTCTCAAAAGAAAAAAATTAAAAAAGGATTGGGGGTGTAGCTCAGTGTGAGGGCTCTACGTTTAATCAGTACCACAGAAGGGAAAAAGGGAAAGAAAAGAAATCAGCCCAGGTGAAAAGGAAGACTGAACCCTGGAGGACTATGAACCAACAACATCCCAGGAACAACATCCCTGTGGCCGGACAGGACAGTCCAGGCTGGAAGTAAACACCAGCACCTGGCTCTGAGTGCTCGTGGAAGAGTGTGTAGGCCAGGGCTCAGGGCGTGCGGAGAGGTTAGGGCCCGAAGTGCAGAGATTTTGATCCAAATGTATAAGGGGTCCCACCAAGTCCAAGCATGTCCAGAGTTGAAGGGACTGAGACTAATTGAGCCACTTTTCATTCAGGACTCATCAGGCACAGTATCAGGCGTGGCCCATGTGTTGTGTCACTCATTCTGTCATGGTTTATACCATGAGATAAGAGCCAATATTTTGTCTTTTATTTAACACGGGTTAGAGAAGCCGAGTAACCTGGTTAGCATGGGAGTGACAATTCCCAGATTGACTCCAGGTGTGACTAACTCTGAAACCCATGATCCTAGCTACCCTGCGGTAGCACCTGTGGGGCTGAGCTGGAGCCAGGTGTGATGGTCTGGTGAGTGGATCCTCCCAGGAGACAGGCAGGAATCAGAAACACGAAACCCAGAGTTTGCTTTCTGCCTTCACCACTGAGCGCAAACCTAGCCATCTCCAACTGAGGATAAGGCTCTCACCCCTGTTCACTGGCTTCTCTCACACTCGTCTACTTCTCCCTTCACAGATGTGCACCAGAAGCCCTCCAGGTGTCTTCTCAGCAGTGCCCGGACTGCTCTCTATGTGCCCTGTGGCCTCACCAATCACCTGGATATCTCAGTCTGGCCTACAGCTCCCAGGCCTCACATTCTAGGACAGCGCATTATAAGAGTGGGGGAGCGAAGGGAGCATCAGAGAGCCTGTGCCTGACCCCTTTTGCTGATGAGGACATGGAGCTCTTCAAGGGCGAGGTAAGCCGGCTGAAAGGTGGCAGAGTCAGTCATAGGACACAGGTCTCTCGAGCTCCCAGATGCCTTTGAGATTCTCCACCACATTGTGTGCCAGAAAGCTGAGTAGCATCCCACAACTTTCTCAAATCAAAAGAAAGCCAGAGGCCACACTCACTTCAGCCCCCTAAGGTTTATTTCTTACCCAGAGTACAGGGTGGAAGGAAGTAGATTGTATCATTTTTGCTGCTCACAGGATTGCTAATTTGACAGGTGTAAAACTTGGATTGGTTCTGTGGTGTAAGGGTGACTTCAAGTTCACTCCTGTGGAGCTCCTTTGGTAAGGGGCCTGAGTCTCCATACCAAATGTAGCCAGCAGATGGGTCTGGTATTTTACAGGAGAGATTCATATAACAGATGTCACCCACTTCTTTGATCATCTCCGTTTTTATCACGAACTCGGGTACAGTATCTGAAAATAAGAAAGGTGTTATAAAATGAAGTAAGGGATTTATGATTTGTAGGCTTTTAGCCAACAAAGTACAAAGAGAACCCGGGAGGGCCATGGAGGGCAGTGTAGTAAAGAAGAGGCTCCTACAGAGGGAGCCAGTGAGCAGTTTTGAGCTGGGGAGGTTTACTGGGCCAAGAACTCCTTCTTGGAGGTGGTGCTAAGCATCATCCACAAGAGGGAGCCAGAGTCCATTACTTGCAACCTGGAACAAAATGAGGTGATGATCATCTATGAGCTAGAAAGACAGGGTACTTCTGGTTGAGATCAGCAGGGGTCACACTTAGTATCCCAACTATCTGAGATGCCTAGGACTGGCACCTTGTGGCAAATTTGCTCCTTGAGAATTCTCAAGCTCAGAGTGAGGGAGAGCTCCAAGGTCAGCCCGCACCTGGCAAAGTCCTTTGCACAGCCACCACAGGGAAATGCCATCCTCCTAGACTCTGGCAGAGTTGCAGATCAGAGCCTCCTGTAACCCCAACATATGCCAGTGGTGACTGTTAACCCTGATATCTCAATGTCTAGTGCAGTGTCTGTCACACAGCAGGTATTCCACAAGTAGCTGATGGATGGATGGATAGACGGATGGATAGACAGATGGATGAAGGTCATGAGGCAGAAAGGACAAAACACTAGCTTTGGAGGATGACTAGTATTGGTCCTGGGTTTTGTTCTCATGAAGTTAACTTCCCCAAACTCATGGGCAAAATGCCTTCATGGTACCATTTAGTAAGAAAAGATGACATGACATTGTCCTTAGAGAAATTCTTTCGGTAGGGTGTAAGTATTGCATCTGTGATAAAAATTATGTTATCATTACTACCATTGTCCTGCTGCTAGATGTGATGAGAGGAAATCCCAGCATCTGATCCTTCACCTAGGTCTGGTTTCCCTAAAATCCTCTGGGATCTTTTCATTCTAGTCAATGGCAAAATACCTGCAGAATCTGTGCAGTTCAGACCTCACTGGATTGAAGTGTGCCAGAGAATTGACCAGATCACAGCTTGTTTCTGGACTGTATGTGGTGAGAGACTATGCAAGGGCTGCCAGTATGGCCTCCTGAACTCTTCCGTTGCTTCCTGAAGCTATCTCAGACTGCTGGACTTCTCCCACGTGCTGTTTGTTAGTTTGTTTTCTTTGAGTACGAGGGATTGAGTCTAGTGAACTTTGTGGTGTGTTCTACTGCTAAGTTATAGCCCCAGCCATTTTTAGTTTTTATTTTGAGACGAAGTTGAACTAAATTGCTCAAGTTGGCCTTGAATTTTCAATCTTCCTACCTTAACCGTCCCTAGCAGATGAAGTTATAGGCATGGGCCACCACAACCACCCCTACATCCTTTAAGTGCAAAATCTATACTGTTTTTGTTTTCACCATTTCCTGTGTTTCATCCTCACATTTTATACTTCTTCTACATTTCCCTCCATGACCAACACAGCTTTGTTAATGGTATTGATTGAACCAGCCAGAGTGGTCTGAGCTCCAAGATGCCCCATCGGAACAATCACAAATGTCTGGGCTGGACTGAAATGGTGATTCTCCTACTGATCACATCCTGGGGGAGGGGGCGGTCTTACTCTCAGGCAGGGCATGCTGGAGCCGAGTCAGTGTGTGGATTTTTAGGTACTCAGAAGTGTTGATTGTGAAAAGCTGATTGTGAAAAGCTTTAGTGACCTGGAATCAACTCCGATGAACGCATTTACACCGCAGAAATTGCAGAGGTTGGTAAATGGGATACAAATAGGGTCTTTTAATTGTTATCACTTTCTCTATTTTTGGTCTTGCAGAGAATACCTCTGCCAAAAATTTCCCTGTTCCCAAGACCTCCCGTATTTCTGGGATATATAATGTGGAGGCAGTGAATGAGGAAACTCTGGCTTCTTACACCCTGGACCCTCTAGCTGGTAGGACCTAAGTGTACTCAGCACCTTTCATCTGCACCAGGTTAACATTTTAAAAGTGTTTTCTCCTCTTTGATCCTCAAACACCTTGAGAGGAGGTTATAATCACCTTCATAATGTGATGAGGAACCCAAGGGTCCAAGTGAAAAGCTATCAGCCTGGTTCCTCTTCTGCAATCACTGCCCACCCCAACCCCATGGGAGCTTTTCCAGGAGCCTCATTTCCATAGTATTACTTGGTCCTTTGGGCCATAAAGGTGTAGATTAGAGCCACAAACCTGAGCCAAGTCAGACAAATTGGTTTTTCTCTCCGAGAATTTAAACTCAATGTTATAAAAGCCTAAACTCTGAGAAATAACTCTTGTCAATCACAGGAATCCATAGCCACTGCCCACAGATTCCTGAGCATGGGGACTCTAGGTGGACCTTGGTTCTCAATATTTTTCCCATGTATTTCTTCTGGACTCTTCTGCACTGCTTGAGTTGCTCTTGGTTTCTTAAAAATAACTTGTCCTTATTGAGTAAAAAAATACAGCAAATTGGTTTCTGATATTTGCTGTCAAAAGAACTTTACCTAATATGGACGTAGGGATATTAAGATATTTCTCCAAGATCATAAAACAAGTGGATGACTGATCAGAGATGTTTTTGTTGTTTTTGGTTTTAAATTTTAATAGACAATAATTTTACATATTTATGGGGTATGGTATGATAATTTGATACAATTGTCGAGGATCAAATTAGGATAATTAGCATTTATCTCCTCAAACATTTATTTAGTAAATTTGTAGTACTGAGAATTGAGCCCAGGAACTTTTGCACATTCCCAACATTCCTACATCCCCAGCACTTTTAAATCTTAAGACAGGGTCTCACTAAACTGCTAGGTTATCCAAAGTTGGGGTCAAAGTTGGGATCTTCCTATCTCAGCCCCCCAGAGTGCTGGAATACCTGGTGCATTTATCACTTCTGTGTCGGAAACCTTTTCAACTCTCCTAGTTACTGTGAAATATATAACAAATAAACTAGGTGTGGAGGCACACGCCTGTCATCCCAGCTCCTCCAGAGGCTGAGGCAGGAGAATCGGAAGTTCTAGTTCAGCTTGGGCAACTCAGTGAGACCCTGTGTCAAGATAAAATAAAAAGGGCCAGGGATGTAGCTCAGTGAGTGCCTTTCTTTGGGTTCAATACCTGTCACTCATTCTATTGTGCTATAGAGTACTAGAATTATTCTTCCCATGTAACTGTATTTTGGTACTCATTATACAACCTTTCCCCTTTCTCCTGCCCTCCCTAGCTTCTAGTAATTACTATTCTCCTCTCTACTATGAGATCAATATTTTTAGCTTCCCAAAATGAGTGAGAACGTATGGTAATTGTCTTTCTACACCTGGCTTATTTTACTTAACCAGAATTTTGCACCCAGGTCTGTCTTACTCCAAGCAGAATGCCCTGGTCCTTATTCCTCATACCCTGGTGAGGCTGGAGCTATGTGGAAGTTTTTGTCGCATTCATTCTGATGGGTTAAAAAAAAAAAACTCTCCATAATATCTCCTGTCTCAACCTTAATTTTTTATACTTTTCCCCACAAGTCTGAAGTCCAAGATCAGAAATATAAATAACATGTCTTCAGAACTGATACGGGTTCATTATTTGACAGCGTGAAGGAAGTAGAAAGGAAACACCTTTTGGGGGGTCTGCTGGCCGAAGCTCACTCTCAAAGAGAATGGGCCTCGGGGGAAATGAATTAAGTCTGTCTGAGACCTTCTGCCCCTTCTCCCAGACAGTGTCCCCAGTAGTCCCAGGAAGTGGTCCACCCAGGGCCCTGGAGTGGGACTTGCACTTTGGTTTCCCTAACTCACCAAACACCTTCAAGATTATCTTGATCTCTCGTTCATCTTCGTCCTCTTTTGACACTCTCAAGATGTAAGTACTGCTGTCCGATTTCTGGACGTTGTAGATGTGTAATGCACCACTTTGATTATCAAGTCTGATTCTGTGTTTAAATTTAGTGTTGAAGGAGTAAACCTCTTTTGGGTCCCATTCCATAATCTTCTGGTTGGTAGTGTAAAACCAGGTGCCATGTGTGAAGTTATCAAGCAGTTTCTTGGAGCTTTGCAGAGTCACGTTGCTGCCAGTGGCCTTGGTGATGGTCTCAGATTCTGAATGACCTGTCAATGAAAGTCAGAGTGAAACCTGCCCTGGAGAGAGTAGTGCCACCATGGCCTGGGAAGAAGGGAGAGATTTCTGCCAGCGGTGGGGGTGGGGGTTATGGGCTTCATCACATGTTCATGTCCTCTGATCAAGAATTCAGTGAAAGTTGGAGCTTGAGAAACAATGCGGGGGTCAGGGGATGTTACTTATAATTATCTAGTTCTACCCTCAGACAATATAGAAAAGGGACCCTGAGTTGACTCTGACTCTCTTTCTTACTTTCATACCAATAGACTACCCAATGAATTGGTGATAAGTTCTGTCTCTTCTCTGGGTTTGTGTTTCCTGTCTGTTCAGTTTAGTTCAAAAAGCATTATACAAATCTCCAGAGGCAGAACATAAACAGGATATGATTTTATGCTAAAAGATTTAATGCACTAGTGTGGGACAGATACAAAAACAAATCATCCTGATATGAAATCTTGGTTACTATAGTAAAGATACACACAAGGAGCTGTCCAGGGTGTAGGGTAGGGGATGGAGGAAATACTAGTAAAATTTCTTTGGGGGATATGACCACTAATTTGAGTCTAAGAATGTTTAAAACCTAATATTTATTGAGAACTGTATAGGTACTACATGAGGCCGTTGGAATATGTCAGTGAATTAAAGAGCAAAGATTCTCAACCTGACATTAGAGTAAGCAATACACACAATAACTAAATACATTATATAGCATGTTAAACAATAATTGCTATAATAAAGAGAAAGTGTAGAACACAGTAAGAGGACTCATGAATGCTGGAAGAGGTTGGGAGGGGAGTGTCGTTTATAAGGTGATTAGTAGGTCACATATGAGCAAAAACTTGGAGGACAGAAAGCCAAGCAGATATGTAGGATGATAGTGAACAGGTAGAAGAAGGAAGAGCTGCAGGAGAGGCCCAGTGGTAGAGTGTTCCTGCTGTATTTAAGCAGTGAAAAGGAGGCCAGAATGCATGGTGTGGAATGGGTAAAGTGGATGGGTGTTAAGAGAGGGAGAGGGAGGGAAAGCGGGGGAGAGAATATTATGGAAAGTAGATGAAGACAGGTTTGCCTTATTGATAACGTTTTACTCTGTACTTTTTTCTTGTAAAAATGACTCATGTACGCATTCACGATTTATTTTCAAGTTGTTAGAAGGTAACAAAATGGAAATATTAGGTGACAGCTATTGGGTTAGTGACAGCTATTGCAGAAGTGATGGGACCGAAGCTCCAGGGCCCTTTAAATGGCCGCATTGGGGCCCCAACAGTGCGCTTGCGTGCCAATATGTTTTATAAAACATTATACGTTTTTAACACAACTAATTAGATCACTGCCTCTTTCCAACCCAACATCCCCTTCCTAACATCTCTATTTGGGTTGGTTCTGTCACATTTGTGGGTACTCTGGAATCTGGCTAAGGGGGAACTAGAACCAAGAAATGTTTAGTCTGAGTGTGGTTCAGACTCTCCTGGGTGGGAACTGCTAGCCACTTGGCTGAAGAGATGACATCAGGAACGTGGCTGCCCTCACTGGCCAAGTCCTCAGGCATGTGGTAATATGTCTGGGACAGGAAGAAAACAAGGTTAGAAGTGAACAGAAGCCAGAGCTATTCAACAACAGAATACTGTAGAGGCATGAAGATGTTTAATTAATTGAAAGTTTATGCTATTTTTCTGGCTTTCATGCTTGATGTAATGCTTGTCAGCTTTAAAAAAATCATATTTTATTGAAATTTCTTTTCCTCGTTCTAACTGAATTAAATTTTGTTCCTTTTGCACTCTGGGGTTGAACCTAAGGCCTTTGCACTGAGCTACATGCCCAGACCTTTTTTTTTAACTAGTGTATATTTGTGCTAAATAATAATCATATTTGTTTTAGGGGATTGGTACATGGATATAGTACATCTTAAGCATTGCTAATCTCTTTATCCCTCTTCCTGCCATCCCTCTTCTCTATTTTCTCTGATCCCCTTCCCTATTTGAAACACATCTGCCTTTCTGTTTCTTACCATCTCTATTTTACTCTTTTATTTACATATGTTTTAGGTTTCTTATATAAGAGAAGCCATGCAATCCAAATTTCTGTGTCTGCCTTATTTCACTCAGCATTATGGTCCCAAGAGACTTCTGGGAAGATGGCAGAATGGTAAGCAACAGAGAAACAGCCTCTCTGATATTTGGAATCCCGATGCTGGAATACAGCATCATGAGGAAGAGAAGGAGGAAAGAGGGTCCCTGGATCCCAGCAAGGATCTAGTGAGAATTAGAGCCCATGAAGAGAACTAAGAAAGGGCCTATAACACAGAGGAGGGAGATGGCATGCAGCACTTTTTTCCTGAGCCCTGGATTCTTGTGTGGGAGGAGTGGCTGGAACCTGGAGAGTCATGGTGATTACTGGCTACCCAGAGGCTTCCATGGAGAAATGCACCAGTGGAATGGAGCAGTGGATACTGCAGACTTCAGTGCTAGTGAGTTATGTGGTTTCAGACGCCTCTCTTGGTGGGTGACTGACTGGTAGCTATTTTGGAAAGGGACCAATGGAAGTCAGAATTCAGAATAGCTGCGGGGTTGGCTCCATCTATTGGCTCCAAGTGTCAGGGTGAGGTGAAACCAAGTTCAAGGTGTCAGGAGATCAGGGAGATGAGCTCAAGCTGGCAGAAGTAATTCAGAGTGTTGCAGGCTGAAAAACTATGCTCCTAGCCTCACAGCCAGAAACCAGGACCAGACTAAACCTCAGTGGAACTAAAGGCCTATGTTTGTTGGGATTATCCACCACTGCCATAATTCTACTGCTGGCTTGCAGGGATCAATCAGCAGGGATCTGGGCTGTCTCCCTCCTCTGCCAACCAGTGACAGCAGAGACATGCCCTGTGGACATTTCCCCCCTACTTTTCCTCCTTTCTTTGCTTTTTAATTTTCAAAAATGTTTTATGAATTTTTAATCTTTTCTATTTTTCTTGACTGTTCTTGTTTTTATATGTGTAGAACATTGTTTCTAATTTTGTTTTGCACTGTTCTTGTTTTTGTTTCTTCCTTTCTTTCCCTCCTGTCTTCTTCACCAGTTCCCAAAGCTTGCATAATCTGTTTTTGTACTCCAGCCTTGCTTCTAATCCCTTTCTATTCTATTATTCTATTTTTTTCCTCTATCCCCTTTTAAATTTTCTCCCCAAGGGGAAAATCACAACACTGAAGGAATATTTACTGTAAACAATTTTCTGATATATATATATATATATA